AACAAAAAAAAAAATGGCATGGTTAAAAAATGTCACCGTGTAAAGGCAGTGTTAAAGAATTTCATAAAGGCAATAGAATTTCAATTATAACTCGGTAAACCCCCTCTGACTAGAGCGCACAACAGTCCTATACTGGATCAAAATCAAAATTTTCACAGAAAATATTCAATCCCACGGCAGTGGGTTCTACGATACCGGATTGACCGGAAACAACAAGATCCTAGTTTCGGCCCGCGGCTGCCAACCGAGTATATACATGTTTGTGTTTGTTTATTTTTCTGCATTTCGGGCAGCATATCCCGGAATGCTTGCTCCGGATTTTATTGATCCGTGCCGGGATTGAGGAAAACCCCGGACCTTGGTTCTGCTCGGTTTGTCAGAACGTCATCCACCACAGATCTGTTTCGGTGCGATGTAATGGATGTAGAGAATGGGTGCACTTCAAGAACTGTTCCGGACTAAGGCGTTTGCGAGACTACAGCGAAAGGGATTATGTTACGACTTGCTGCAGTAACGTAGTCCCCAGCGAGTCCACTTCTTCGGTCCTCATCAGAGACGTCGTCAGAGTATGGCACTTCACCGCAGTCTCCAGAACAGCCACCAACACCGCAGCACCTAAGGTCACATGTTGCTGTTCCAACTCCGGATTGTGCATCATTCTTGCAATTCAATTGCAACGGACTTCGAGGCAAAATAGATGAGATAGTGGAATTTATGAGTGTCAGGAATATTAAGATCGCAGCGGTGCAGCAAACCAAGCTGAATGAACATTGCAGCCTACAACGTTATTATGGTTACAACGTACTAAGGAAGGATCGAGGTGGGGGATTAGCGTTCGTGTTACACCATTCTGTTCAGTACAGACGTATCTCGCTTGAGCTAGTCTCTAGTGACCCATACATGGAATGTATGGGGATAGCAGTCAAGTGTGGAAATGCCGAGGTAGAGGTGCTTAATGTGTATATCCCGCCGATTAATAGCTGCGAACCGCGTTATTTGCCTGTAAACTGCCCAACCCTTCTGATGTTGGGGTAGCAGAAAGGATTTTCCGAAACATCATCAAAGTTGCAGCCGCTCGCTATATACCTGCTGGTCGAATACCCGAGATAAGACCAAACTTCCCAGCAGAGGCAGCGGGATTAGCAAACGAGCGTGATGATCTCCGTCGTACCAACCCTACTAATCCTAGAATCACTGATTTGACAGTGGAAGTCAACCGGTTGGTACAGGAGCAAAGATAAAAAATTGGCTGGACCATCTAAAGTGTTGCAACATTGGAACCGATATGAGTAAGCTGTTGGTAACGGTTAAGTCGCTCTCGAACCCTGAAAAAAAGGATGATAGGTCCTCAGTCACTTTTAACGACGTAATGGTAACTGATCCAAAGAGGTGCGCAAAGTATTTTAACCGACAATTTGTCGAGCACCCCGAGAGCGGTAGGGCGAAGCGAAGAGTACAGTTTACGATGGGTGATGTTGCAAATGTCATCCGTAACGCCAAGTCATCCAAAGCATTGGGCCCGGACGGAATCTCAATGGTAATGTTGAAGCAGCTGGATACGCCGGGAGTCGAGTACTTAACGAAAGTTCTCAATTTGTTGCTAGCCACCCACATAGTGTCCGAAACCTGGAAAATGGGCCAGGATGCCAGTAATGGCGAATCGTACAGGCCGATTTCGCTTTTGTCGCCAGTAGCTAAGACTCTTGAGGCTTTACTCCTCCCCAGCATTAGAGGAAGCTATACAGTTGGCAACCACCAGCACGGATTCCGTCCACAACATAGTACCACAACAGTATTACACGCCATTTCCACACATATTAGTAGAGGACTGAACCAGAACAGGCCGTGTGGCAGAACAGAGTTGGTAGCCCTTGACCTATCAAAGGCATTTGATAGGTCAATCATGGCACACTGTTTGAGGACGTGCAGAGAACTACCCTCCGGCCAAGTTTGAAACGTTGAATAATCAACTATGTGTGTGAACGCCAGTCGTACGTGGAATTCCGGAAGAAGAAGTCCAAAGCCCGTAGAGTGAAACGGGGGTTCCCCAAGGTGGGGTGATATCTCCGGAACTATTTAACCTCTACCTTTCCGGAATTCCTCGCCCTCCAGACGGCATTGAGATCGTAACGTATGCGGATAATTGTACGATCATGGCTTCGGGCCCAGTGGTCGATGACATATGCGAAAGGCTGAACCCCTATCTCGCTGAACTTGCCGCATACTTCCACGCGAGGAATATGAAAATATCCGCCACGAAATCAACGGCCACACTCTTTACCACATGGTCTGCGGAGATGAGAACACAGCTGAATGTTCAGGTCGAGGGGAATCTAATACCGACCACGAACTACCCCAAGATTCTTGGGGTCACGTTCGACAGCATGTTCAAGTCGTCCGCGCAAGCCACATCTATCTGCGACAAGATGAAAAGTAGCAACAAGGTCCTCAAGGCGCTAGCCGGCAGCTCTTGGGGTGCGGACAAAGAAACTTTGTTGAACTCTCATAACGAGTGGTCTGCGAATACTAGTGCTACACAGTGGAAGCATATCCAGACCTGCCAGAACGCTGCCCTGAGAACTGCGACAGGGTGCCTTCTCATGACACCAGTGGACCATCTACATGAGGAGGCGAAAGTCCTTCCCTTACGTCAGCAGTCCTTCCCTAGTTACCGTGAGTCCTTCCCTAGTTGGTGGATAAATCTGCCCCACCCAGGCGTGTCAGGAAGGACATACATGATCTAGAGAGGGAGGTCCACAAGAGAGAACCTCTAGATCAAAAAGCCTATCAGGCAGGTCTGAGTGGCATTTATACCGATGCAGTCGCACTTTAATATTAGCAATAATAAAGTGAACGCCGTCCTCGGAGTCCACCCCCCATCCATTGCAGCAGAAGAATGTCAGCTGCCTAGAAAAACCAGGGTAGTTTTGGCGCAATTACGTTCAGGATGGTGTAGTCGTCTCAATTCATATTGGGCACGAATTGATGAAGATGTGCGTGACGCCTACCCGGCGTGCGCTACAGGCCCGCACAATACGCTACACCTCTTTAATTGCACAACCAAACCTACCCAACTCACTCCAGAAGATCTCTGGCTACAGCCCATTAAAGTAGCCGAATTTCTAAACCTGGAGCTGGAACCAGATTAGCAGAACGCAAACTCATGCATGTACTACAGCTACAACAACAACAACAACAGAAAATATTTTACGTTTTAGAACATGAATCGCCCAAAATTGAACAAACTTCACGAATCCCAATATTTTTAAAAGTGTTTAGTCAGGTACGTACCTACCTACCCTTAAAGAGTCTACATTTTTATCTCACCAACACAAGATATGGTGTCAATAACGGACCACCTTCCCCAAGTACGGGTCAACAATTTAAATAACCATGACGCTCATAAATGGCTAAATGAGCACTTTTCAATAGTTTTATTAACAAAATATCTGGTGTGAAAATAGGATATATCGTTTTTTTCTTTTGTCTCGATTCTTTTGAAACTTGATATATCTAAATATCTCTCTCAACTAAGGATCTGATGTGAATAAGCTATCTTTGGGCCCACTACTTGTGGTACCTTCCCACAAAGTTGAACAATATTGCCATACGATCGGAAATAAATGTACGATTTCCTTTATAGCTATATGGCTACAGAGGGTATAGGGTATTGGTCCACTTCATGGTAACTTTACCCATAAAGGGCCTATATTTTGTGTAATCGGTGTGATGCTACTTACTACCATTTTAGGGACTTCTGCTTATTCGAATTTTTGATGATAAGCGGTGAGAGATTTCCGTTGTCTCTTTATTCATCAGGCTATGAGAGCGCTGAATGTTTTCTCCAAATTTGTTTTTTCAAACTCTCAGTAACTTAACTGTCAATTGTTCTTTTCACTTATTATCATTTATTGATCTTTTGGGTTATCGAATTGCATCTTTTATTTTTGTGTAATGCATCAACGCTTGTGAACATTAATGTGTGAACATTTTTAAAAAGATTATTAAGATATACATTTTTCAAAAGATTTTACAATTTCAACAATTTTTATTGAAAATGTTCAATTTATGCAGCGCGCTTTTGCATAGTCAATATGCTGATTGAGGCGGTCGACCTACTATTCTTCAAAAAAAAAAAAAACACATTTCTCGTTAATAAAGAATTTCACTAGATTATTCCCGTATTATTCGATGACATGAATTAATTTTCGCTTTTTTATTATGGAACAATTTTCAACTTACAAATATCCTACTGTTCATCATATTTTTAACATTTAAAGTGTCTCAATTCTAAAATGTTGGAAATATCAACAACTGAAGGATACTTGACATTAAATACTGTTCCAGAAAAAATATAAATGTGAATTACGATATGACATCGATCATACCCCTGATCAAAACCGTGTTGAGAACCACCTGCATAAAAACACAAAACCATTGAGTAATGAATATATAGACAACGGAAAGATAGTTTTGTGTTTTGTGCAGGTTGCTTCATTGTTCTATAATTACAAGGCTAGGCAGAATGATTAAATCTGAAAAACACAACCCTAAAGCAAAACTCTTGTAACTTCAAATTTACCAATAAAAATGCATTTTTTTATTTCACACTTTTCTCCCAAAATTTCTATGTAAAAGTTTTTACAAGTCAAATATTGTTCTTATTTTTTCATTTTAAAATTGAGTGACTTCAATATTTTCAACCCTGAAACAACATAGACGATATCTCCTAATCCGAATTGTTGCCAGGTAACCAGTGACAAAATTCCTTCGTATATTTATGTAAACCACTATTTTACGGAAACATTTAAATTTGGTTGAATAAATCGTGATATTGTGGGTTCATCCGGATAAAATTGTACATCTAAACCCACTATTAATCCGGACAAAATGTTGCTTCTAAACGCGCTATAAGATTGTTGACAGTTTGTTGCCTAAAGTAGTCTCCTTGTCGACCTTATATAGACCTTGAGTCTGATAAATACTGGCAACGCCGATTACTTCTTCAATCGGCGTTGTAATATGTTGTGGCTCCATAGATTGCCTTTGTGGATAAACGAAGATTGTTTACGCAGTACTTTTGTGTAATTAAACCCTTTATCGTAGTTGAAAACATATATATTACAGGCAATAATTGTGTAATGGAGGAGCTACTTAACGAGGTGGTGCCACAGGAAGACCTGGAGGTACTATTGAATTACAATTGTTTTATATTTGTGTTTGTATTTTACTCTTATCTGTGTTACAGAGGTTCGAGAAAAAGTTTGCCCACGAATTGGAATTGGACGGTGAAGTAACAATAGAAACTAAATTCGAGTATGCTTTTTGCTTAGTTCGTAGTAGATATACCAATGACATTCGAAAAGTAAGTGCTCATGACTTTCATTCGGGGAATTCCAGTGAGTCATGCAACTTATTTTTATATTTTCAGGGAATAATGATATTGGAAGAATTGGCTAGAGTTCATCCAGATGGACGCCGTGATTATATATATTATCTAGCTTTTGGTAATGCCAGAATTAAAAACTATTCTGACGGGTTGAAATATTGTAGAGCCTTTTTAGAAATTGAATCTAACGATCAAGTTCGTTCATTGGAGGTAAGGCTTTTATATGCATGATCTGTGGTGTTTAATTATGTTTTATTTTTTAGGAATATATTAAGAAACAAAGTGATAAAGACATGGCAAAAGGTATGGCGGTGGCAGGAGGTGCTGCTCTTGTACTTGGTGGCATTCTGGGACTTGGAATAGCACTAGCAAAAAAGTAATGACATCATTTATAGCAAATTTAAATGAAAAGAGATAAGTTTTCCGATACTTTGTCCATGTTTTCGTTTATGCCACAATTCATCTAAAATTCCAAAATCATCTCTTAATTGATAAAAGTACATCATCAAACATTTCAGTATGAAAATATAATTCCGTTTGTAACTAGTCGTTTTATTTTTTGTAGTAAGCAAAAACGTAATAACTGATGGAATTCTAAAGCCGCTCTGGATAAAAAAATATCAGCTCTCTGGATTCATTAAATTCACACAAAATAATTATTGATTGTAAAAAAGTGTTTGGCAATTGAAAACTGCGGCTCCCAGTTTAAGGTAGTTTTGTTATGTCGATCTTCTTTGTACAAATGTAAAATATAACTTGAAAAAAAAATGAACAACAGACAAGAATAATTTTTTAAAAAAGAAGGCTGATTCATCAAATTTTGGGTGAGCGTCAGCCTGGAAGTAGAGATGCGAGATAGGTCTGTATTATTGTTATAAGTCTGCAAATTGTTACCAAAGGTAGGTAGGTCTTCTTGTCCTCATTACAACAATATATTTTTGGGGAGAAATAAGTTCTACCCAAAATATGGGATTGTAACACCTATTGATTTAATTTCATGTGCAGTGAATTATTTCCGCAAATATTTGCATTTAAATTTTTGTAAAGAAATAGTCTATTCCCCCACTCGTATAAACATAGACCTGCCGCAAGATAATTTGTCTAATATAAATTTGGAACGCTGAAGGCTATTTTACACATCGTGTTAGCCATGTAAAAGGTGGATTTCCCACATTTATAATTTTCTCTTTTTAAGGCATACTTTCAAGCGCTTCTAAATACTTTTAAAAATTAAAAGAAAAGTCATCAACTATATTCTATACAATACTATATACGCTAGAGCCCCGACATGCGTCGTTAATGGGGACTGGGGAAACGCGACGCAAATCGAATCAACTTTTTTTATACATATACAAAATGCACTGAAATTTAATTTACTGGGGAAAATATTCAATACAAAGCAAAAATTTTATATTTTTGACAAAAAACAAGTATGAATACATTTTTATTTATTCCATTTACTTCAAAAAATGTTTATAATTCTTACTAGCTGGCCCAGTCCGCGTTCCCGGCCCGTAGTTTCAGTCTTTAATGCATAGTTTTTATACCCTCCACCAAAAAAAGTATGGAGGGTATATTAATATTCTTGATCAGCGTAAAATTTTAAGACGATTTAGCCCTGTCCGTCCGTCTGTTTTAATCACGCTACAGTCTAAACGAATTAAGATAGGAAGCTAAAATTTTGCACAGATCTCTCTTTTGTCTGCAGGCAGGTCAAGTTCGAAGATGGGCTATATCTGTCCACGATATCGTATAGCCCCCATATAACGGTACCCCCGATATTCGGTATTTTGATGATGTTAGCCACGTTTTTCAATGGAATTGTCTGAAAATCCACACAAGTAGTTCCTTGTGGGTACTTTATACCTCGGCAGAGAAATATCTATATAGGTCCACAATATCGTGTAGCCCCCATATAACGGTACCCCCACCGTTTTCGGTATTTTGATGATTTAGCCACATTTTTCAATGGAATTGTCTGAAATTCCACAAAAGGAGTCCCTTGTGGGCATTTTACCCCCTCAAAAAGAATTGTCTATATAAGTCCACGATATCGTATATCCCCCATATAACGGTACCCCCGATATTCGGTATTTTGATGATTCTATCCACATTTTTCAATGGAATTGTCTGAAATTCCACAAAAGAAGTCCGTTGTGGGCATGTTACCCCAAAACAAGAATTGTCTATATAAGTCCACGATATCGTATAGCCCCCATATAACGGTACCCCCGATATTTGGTATTTTGATGATTTTATCCACATTTTTCAATGGAATCGTCTGAAATTCCACAAAAGGAGTCCCTTGTGGGCATTTTATCCCCTCAAAAAGAATTGTCTATACAAGTCCACGATATCGTGTAGCCCCCATATAACGGTACCCCCGATATTTGGTATTTTGATGATTTTATCCACATTTTTCAATGGACTTGTCTGAAGTTCCACAAAAGGAGTCCCTTGTGGGCATTTTACCACCTCAAAAAGAATTGTCTATATAAGTCCACGATATCGTATATCCCCCATATAACGGTACCCCCGATATTTGGTATTTTGATGATTTTATCCACATTTTTCAATGGAATCGTCTGAAATTCCACAAAAGGAGTCCCTTGTGGGCATTTTACCCCCTCAAAAAGAATTGTCTATATAAGTCCACGATATCGTATAGCCCCCATATAACGGTACCCCCACGGTATTCGGTATTTTGATAATTTTAGCCACATTTTTCAATGGAATTGTCTGAAACTCCACAAAAGGAGTCCCTTGTGGGCATTTTACCCCCTAAAAAAGAGTTGTCTATAAAAGTCCACGATATCGTACATCCCCCATATAACTGTCCCCCCGATATTCGGTATTTTTATGATTTTACCTACATTTTTCATGGGAATTGTCTGAAAATCCACAGAGAGAGAATTCTCAATATAGGTTAACGATAACGTATAGCTCCCATATAATGGTACCCCGCGATAGTCGGTATTTTGATGATTTTAGCCACATTTTCCAATCGTATTGTCTGAAAATCCACACACGGAGTTCTTTGTGAGCACTTTACCACTAAAACGGAATTGTCAATATAGGTCCACAATATCGTATATCCCCCATATAACGGTACTCCCCTGAAAATCCACACAAGGTGTTCCTTGTGAGTACTTTACACGCAGACATAGATTTGTCTTTATAGGTCCACAATATCGTATATCCCCTCATATGTCGGCACCTTCCTATATTAGATATTTTAAAGATTTTTAAAGAATTTTTAATGGATTTTATTTTTTTGAAAATGTTCTAATTCGTTCCAAATGGTGGAGGGTATTCAAAGTTCGGCCCGGCCGAACTTACTGCTTTTTTACTTGTTAAAGCATAATAATTCACAAATCTGGCTGACATAAGTGGAACAATTTTTAGTATAAATGATGACTCGATTAAATAAAAATAAATATGTCTTTCAAAAAACTTCATCCTATTTTTCAGTAAGAGGTTTTAGTTTGAGAGTTAAAAACCTAAATTATATAGCATATATATTAACTGTTTATAATAGGACCATGTAATATGGTTCTCTACCCCCAAAGTAGCCTTAACACACAGTTTAAGTCAAATCAATTCGAAAATATAATCATAACCTTCGAAATAGGTAAAATCAGGAGGTACTTTTATATGAGCCCTACTGCGAAACATTGACATTGAAAAATTTCCGCGAAGTGGACTTCTTCCAGAAGCTACATGCCAAATAAGGGCAAAATCAATTGAAAATGTGACCAAGACCCTGGTAATAGCTAAAATCACCGGATACCTCCACATAAGAGTTATAATGAAGCATGGTTCCTTACTTATAATTATTTGAAAGAATTTGTTTTTCATTCTAAAATCTCAAATTACCAACATTTGAGGAATTTGAAAGGGGCTATATCACAATGTGGACCAACCTGAGCTATATAAAATGGACTCTAAAAAGTTAGATCCGGGAACCGCTCTTTTGGGATTTTTATTTACCAACCGAAAAAAAACCTAATCCCAAGATTGTCTGCGGCGCAGTGTAATTACTGACGATAGCGCATAGTGCAAGTATAACGTTACCTATGATTTAAGGTTACTTTTAAGGGTTCGGAAGAAATTTCCGACTATATGAATCCTTTTCTTACTATATTTTCAATACACTCGACTATTTTGGGTAGTCCGCATATCACAGTGCCTCTTTATATTCGGTATTTCACTGATTGGAGTCCCAATGAATTTTGCATTTTGAGTTCTCATTGGATGAATTATTTCCATATCAAAATTGAAAATTTGGGTATGGCAACCATATAACAACATGTATAGAAAATATGCAAACTTTCTCAATTTTTTCGGTTTTTTTCAATAAGAATTTTCAATTCCAAAAGGAATTCTGAATCAATTCTACACAAAATTCCATATCATAATAGAACAGTCAATATTTTCAGTTCCGCGATTTTTCTCAAAATTTTCTTTCATGACAACGTTTCCACTGTAATTATAAATAACTGACCCCAAACAGATACCTAGGGTTGGGGATGGGGAGAGTCAAGATGACGTATACTAACTGTGGAACAAATATCTTCATGATTTTGGCAAATATTAGGGTTTTCGATAATTCAAAAAATTGGCGCAAAATTGGGCGTGATCACTTTTTCTTTGCATAAAAACCTAAATCGGGTAGGACGAACATTAAAAAAAATATCCAAATAGTTCCAGCCGGTCTCAACTGATTCAACTACCAATGAACAATAATTGGTTTATATATAGATTAAAAAGTAGGCGTGGTCAGTTCTTCAGCCCCCAAATAAATACTTACGATTGGAGCAAAGTCTACAGTATGTCCTGTAAAAATTTTAAAACCTCTTCATTATTTGGCAAATATAAGGATTATAGATAAATCGAAATAGTGGACGTAAAAGTAGGCGTGGTAAATATTTTGTTCTTTAAAAACCTAACTCGGGGTCTGACGAACGTTTGTACAAAAAATTATGAAAATCGGCTCAGCCGTTCTCAACTGACTCCATTACCAACGAACAACAATTGATTTATATATATATAGAAGAAGAAGATAGAAGAAGACAAAGAAATAACAAAACAATAAATTAAGAAAAAACATAACAAATATTAAATTCATTTACATATGTATGTACATATAGCACCATAAAGAAAAGGAATTCCCCTTATTTCACGCAATTTGAAAATTTGTTAACGTACAGGTGGTAAATCAGGCACTGCAAATGCAAAAAAATAATAATCCACAGGTAGCTCAGGCCGACACAACTTGAAATTGAAAAGACGCAAATCGAATTTTCTGGTTTTTGAAAAGCGACGCAAATCGGGACGACGCAAGTCGGGGCTCTAGTGTAATTTACTTGTACTATATTTATTTTATACTAGAAATACGTCAATTGATACTGTGATTATAAAGCTGTAAAAATGTGAAAAATTAGTATCTTATTACTCTAGCACGATGTGGAAACTGGCCTTGCATTCCTGGGGGCTTATGATGATTTTTCGTTTCATGTTGTAAATACTATGTTGAGAGAGACTGTGCTGTGCAAAGTTACCTATTCACAAAAGTGGTAAATCTGAGTTGTGTTCCAGAATCTAGAAGTCAAGTCAACATAGATTTAATTTTCAGTGAAATTACTGCAGTAATTAATTTTTCGAACAATTTGGGAATGGCACTTAATTTTGCAATTCTTCTATAACTTGAGACATTAGTAAGACTACCAGACTTATGTAAAGGTATAATATAAGATTTTTTCCAGAAAGTAGGAAAGTTACCAAATTTAAGTGAATAATTAAGCAATATAGTTAAAGGAAGATTATACAATCTATGAGACTCTAAAGTATATTTAGATCTAGCAATAGAGTAATTAGAATAGTCTATTGCTAAGCCTGATTTTTTATATTTACGAAACAGATTATTATTAGAATTTTTTAAACTTGATGACTCAGGGGTTATCCATGGATATTTATTTTAATTTTTTACTCTAGTTGTTGGAACACATTCCAGTTTAAATCTTTTTAAAATATCATAAAATTTATCAATTACATATTCTAGCTCTTTATGGCTTTTACACAGCCACTCAGAAGCCCAATTTACGGAGGAAATGAGGGTATTAAGTTTTCGAAAATTATTTTTTTTTTTGTAATTAAGGACAGTTTTAAATGAGGCAGACTGACTTTCTTCAATTTCATAACTGTGAGTCATGGAGATATATAAAGTTGGATGGTACATATCTTCAGGAGTGCATATTGGAGGAATTCTGAATATATCAAAATGCTGTGTTATATTTACAAACGCCAAATCAAGAATTTTGTCGTGGGAATATTTCACACTTTTTATTTAAAATAAAAATATTTAAGTCACAAAAACTATTTATAACTTCAAATGTGTACTGGGTACTGTTCATTTCGGATGGCAAAGGAATCAAAGCTTCAGAATCTGGCATTGGAAGCCACCTAATGGAAGGCATATTAAAATCACCAAGAATCAGGATGCGATCGGAATCTTTCATTTTTTCAGACATTAAATTTATTGCTGATAAATGCTGATTATAAATGTCAAGTGAAGATGAAGGTGGGATATAAGAGCAAGTTATAAACAATTTAGATTTGCCTATTCAATGGAAACACCAACAAATTCTATATCAAGAAAATCATTTAGATCAATTAAATTAGTGGTATATTTGGTATCAACTGCAATAAGGACGCCACCACATTTTTTACAAACACGATTTTTTCTAAAAATTTGATATTTTGAACATAAATTGTCACTATTTAATATAGATGTTTTTAACGAAGTTTCGGAGAAAACCAATACATTATAATAGAAGTCAATGCTGTCAGTATATAAACTGATTAATTTTGTATTTCATTCTGATAGCAAATAGAAAATGAGTCATTTAGTTTTTTGGCACCGAATCTGGGCTAAGAGGCAAATGAGCTAAATTATCGGACCAGAAACTGACGGTGACGACACAAACTCATCTAATTCTTGGTATTTCTCAAACAAGGTAGAGACATTCTCAAATCGGAGTAATAGTGAGGCAAATCTTTTTTCAACGATGTCAATTCCGACTGTAAATCCTTTACAAAATTGTAAAAATCTGCAGAGAGTTTCCTACATTGCACATAACACCAACGAACACCAACATTATTTCTAATTGTGTCTACGACTTTTGCGTTAACCCTAACACATTTTGCATGCCATTGATTAAGACAAAACCAACAAGTAACACACATTTCATAATCTGCAACAATATTACACAATTCAAAAGGGCACGACATTTTATTTATTTAAATTATAATTATTTCTTTTTTAATATACAAGATGCAACTATATTTTTGAAGATTAGATTTGTAGCTGGAATTTTTTATTTATTTTTTTTAAATGTTGGCAACTCTTTTGATATGACAGACAAAACAAGAAGATATGTTACAACAACTAATTAGCTAATGTTGTAAAAAAAGAAAAGGATAAAGAGGATAATGTAAAACTACACAATTTGAAAATTGATAATTAGTTTAAACACAAAAAAGATTTAAAAACGCTTCACCAATTATCACTATGGCGGGTTATTACATCTTGCCCATAGATAAAAAAGTGATGTTGTTGGACACATGACAAGTTTCATTTAAGTATGGACTGTCCGATAAGCAAAATGTCAGACCATCTTCCCTTTATCTTTTAACACAAAGTTTACTGAATTCATGTTGCCACATTTTTTATTGATAATATGGCAATAACAGCAAAATTTATTTAAATAAAAAGATGCATAACGCTAATCGTTTATTTAATATTGAAGAACTGAATTTTAGATTTATTTTACGAAATTACAAATTCGTTTTGTTTATTATTATTTTTTTTTTTTTTTTTTTTTTTTTTTTTTTTTGTACTTCATACGTTGTCAAGTGTGTTGGTGGAACACGAAGTGTTCATTCACCAGTGCTAGTTGTTGGTTACTTGAAACCATATAAAAGTACTCTCTTTATTTCTCTTCTTTTTACATGAGGATACATATGTGTTAGTGCATCTAAGTATACATGAATATACGTATAAACAAAGCTTTTGTTTTTTTTTTTTTTTTTTTTTTTTTGAAAGGAGTGTAGCAAAACAAAACAAGAAAAGCAATATTTTGATTTTGACAGGATAAAAAGATTAATTGATTTCATAAAACAATTTTACATTTGCTAATGAAATTCAGGAGATCATCTATGAGTTGAAAATCTTTGGCCATGAGGACATCCGGTAAGTTATTGTGTGTTTTAAAAAGGTTGTGTTCATTTCTTTCTCTATTAAATTTCTTGCAGTGGAAGATAATGTGATTTTCATCCTCGATCACATTGCAGGTCTCGCATAAACTGGAGTTGGAAATACCAACACGGTGAAAATATTTTTTGGTATATGTATGTCCAGTAAAAAGTCTATTAATGATTTTTATGTTTTCAGGTTTCATGCTAGAGTTTTTATACCATGGTTGTTTGGGAGGATTTGGGAAGAAGCGGAAGAAATAAGATCCTTTGTGCAGAGAAGTTTCTTTGAAACGTTCAACAAAATCGTTCCAGAGATTTGCTTCAATCTTTTGGATTGCATCTGTGACCGAGAGTTCATATGGTATAACACATCCAGCTTCCGTAGCTTGTTTTGCATAGAAATCGGCAGTTTCATTTAAGGAAATTCCAACATGTGATGGAACCCAAATAAAAGTCACTTTGCATATAGATGAGTTATTAATTTTTTGTATTATGTTGTATGTGGTGTAATTGTTGGAGGAGTTATCTTGTAAAAGAAGACACGCATTTTTACTGTCTGTGAAGATCGCAGCCATGCTGATTCCGTCTTCAATTATTATATCTATAGCTTTTTCTATAGCTCGTAGTTCTCCAGCTAGAGAAGATAACTTTTCTTCGATTTTAAATAAGAAGTTCTGACTTGAGGATATGTTACAGACAGCGCATCCTGTGTTATTATTTGTTACCGAGGCATCTGTTGCCCAAATGGAAACCCCTTGAGATTTTAGCTCGTTAAACATTTTGCGAAAATGAGATTGTATGCACTCAGAAGCAACATCATTTTTTGAGAAATTAAAAATGTTTAGTTTTGTCTCAATTTTTGACGATTTTACGTTGTAACCAATTCTTGTTTTATCAAATATGTTTTTGAAATTGTTGTAGACGTATCCAATGCTCGTTTTCTGAGATGAGTTCGTTGTGAAGTAATCATATAGAGAAAGATTATAAATTTTTAATCTTAACAACTCTTTAGCCGCAAGCTGTTGGGCTCTTAAATCCGTTGGAAGAATACCAGCGAGAGCACATACAACATGATTTGGCGTTGATGGCACCAGTCCCAAGTTTCTTCTTAAAAGTTGATTTTGAAAAGAAGTTAATTTTTTATTTATGTATGCTGGTCTGTGAGCCATTGATGATATTGCATATTCTGTCTTGGAAAAAATCAGAGATTTACTTAAATTTACTGCTTTTGCTGGATGTAATCCTTTCTTTGGGCCAGTTACCATCTTTAGAGCGTTTAAAGTGTTTTTGCAAGATAGTATCACCTCATCGTAATGTTCTTTCAAGGACAGACTGTTTTTAATGTGTCTACCCAAAAATTTTATGGATGTTACAACTTTAACCTGGTTTCCATTGATCATGACATGAGGTTTCTTACGGCCTCCTTTGGCAACATACATAACAGCTGTTTTTTCTATATTGACGCTAAGGTTTAATTTCATAAGTAAGTTGACGAAATTACTTGCTTTTTTTTGTAAAATTCTATTTGCCAGATCAAAGTCGAAGTCGTGAACTAATAGAATGAAGTCATCAGCGTATTGAAAAAGATTAGTGTTCCCATCTGAAATACCATGCAGGCCTAGTGTGTATAAATTAAACAGAGTTGGGCTTAAACAACTTCCTTGAGGAATGCCATTGTAAATATTTAGCAGGGAGTTTCCCATTCTGAGTGTTCTTTTGCATAGAAAGTTTAGGATCCAAGTTCTGATTTGCTCGGGAATATCCAATTGTTGCAAGATCATTCGTAGACAGCTGATGTCTACACATTCATAGGCCTTAGATACATCCATTGATAGTATAACAACTTTCTCATTTCTTTCCTTGTGAAAGTTTATTGTGTGAAGAATGTCGTTGATGCATGTTGATGTAGATACGTGTTTCCTATAGGCATATGATCTATGTGGAAGCAATTTGTTATCATCAATATAGAGATTTAGGCGTTGCTTTACCATTAGATTTATTATTTTTGCAAAAACAGAAATCAAGGCAATTGGCCTGAAATTAGTTGGAATATCCAGATCTTTGTCTTTTTTGGGAATGGGCACAATTTTGATTTCTCTCCATTCATCAAGATAATTGCAGTTTCTCCATAATTTATTATATGCGACTAAAAGATGGTGTTTGGATTGTATGGAAAGATTATTTACCATTTCATATGTTATGCCATCCAGGCCAGCTGCAGATGGCTTCTTCTTCATATCAAGAACTTTTTGTAGCTCTGCAAATGAAAAAACATCGGATTTTTTTAAGTATTCGTCATTGAAAATATTTTGATTGTTATTTGGAACTTGGTCCTTCAAATGTTGTAGAAAGACGATATTGTTGTCGGAACACCACTTTGAATGAGTTTGATTTTCAAAAAAGGACTTACATCCCTTGATGTAGCGGAAAAGAGACTTTGAGTTTGAGATGGTGTTTAACTCATTGATTTTGGAAACTTGTGCAAGGGCTTTGGCTTTTTTAACGGCATTTCTGAAATTATTTTTAGCTTCTATAGCATTTAAGGCATTTTCAGTATTTTTATAGCTTTCGAACTTTTTCTCAGCGGCATCTTTGAGACGAAGTAATCTTTTTAGATCCTCGTTCCACCATGAATTGAATTTTGTTTTCGGTCCAATAGCAAAAGTAGAATTCTTTACTTGATGACTTAACTCTGATTGTATTGTATGCATATCCGTTCCTATATGAAGATTGCATATATTATTCAAAAGGTGTTTTTTTGCAAGAAAGGTTTTTTCTTTATGTTTAATATTACTAATATCTAGTAGTATTGGCTTATGATGACTACCACCGATAGTAATGTTTTGCACCTTCCATGTAAAATGGTATGCCGAGTTAGTAAAAGTGAGATCCAGGACAGAACCAGGAGAATTGTCATACAAATTTTTCTTGAAAGTTGCAGAACCATCATTAATGCATCGGAATATTGAACCATCAAACAAAGTTTTCACAGTCGAACCACGAACAGTGTCAAAGATATCTCCGTAATCTCTGCATCTTGCATTAAAATCTCCAGCTATGAACACGTTTGGTTTTCCTTCAAGCAGTGTAAAAAGTTTAGATAATTCTCTCTTTAAATGATTGGATTTAACAGAATGAGGAAAATATACTGATACGAAGGTGAAATTGGGGCATAGATTAGTGGTTTCACAGACCAAAATGTCCAAATCCGTATTGAAAGAGATTTGTTTCATAAAAATATTGTTCTTATGTAAAAAGGCTACACCACCATAATTATCGCTTCGTTTTTTGCAAATCAAATTGTAATTCCTTAGGAAAGAGTTGTTATTTTTTTCGTTGACATTAAAAATTTCATTTAGTATACAGATGTCCACTGATAAATTATTTATGTATAATTCGAGATAGTTTTTGTTTTTACTAAGACTTTGAATGTTGTACTGCAAAATTTTCATTGTTTTTATTTGGGGGAACTTCAGAGTTTCCTTCTGAAGCTATCTTTAGTGCACTTGCAAAACAGTTTAACATGTCTAATCCTTCACTGCAATTGGCCTCTGATAAAATAATTGCCATTTGATTTGTAAAAGATGATATCATTTTTTCATATTCCGTAACTTTAGAAAAATTTCTAAAATCATATGATGGTTTGCTGGGAGTTATATTTTCTTCGTCTCCTGTTACGTGGATCCGTTTCGGAACCGAAGATACCACTTTACTATATTTAGTTTTTGTTAATTTCCGATTTAGCTCCTCATCCAGTGATTTGCGTACAGGCTTAGTCATTGTAGAAATCAAAGGAAAATCGTTCTCATATTGTGGGTCATCAAAAATTGCATAATAATTGGGCTTGCTTTTGCGAATAATTTCATTTCTGGACAAATTTGAGATAGCCATGGCCTCCCTAATATTTTTTTCCTCGGTGTACTTGGGACATTTTTTTGATTCCATGGCATTATGTTTATCGTCGTTACATAAAATACATCTGGGCATAGAACAGAAGTTATTGCATTTAGTGGTTGAGAGACAAAAGTCGCATTTTAATTCGCCACAATTATTAGGACAATCTATCTTCCTTCCACAGTGAAGACATCTTTTATATGATCGACATCTAATTGCAATGTGGCCCAGACGGCCGCAGTTTTTGCAAAGACGTGTAGGTGGGGTATACAATTCACATTCAGCTAAACAATTGAACATTCGTATTTGTTTTACCATGAAGTTCGCTACAATTCCTATTTTAATTGTTTGTGATGGGACGTATTGTCCATTTTCGTTCTTATAATTGAATCGGTATACAGACACCGCTTTAAAATCATTATCGCTGTTATTGATTTGATCTATGATCATTTTGCCGCTGAAAAAAGTAGGTACCGATTTTACAACATAAAATTTTTGCACAAATGTATCCGGTATAAATGCATTAAGGCCAATTTGCTTTACTTTCGAATCCAAAACAAAACTATTCGCTGAATCGCTGTTGTTGAAAGTTAAACGGAAAGTCTTGTATGCTATGTTTTTTGAAACAAAATGATAATTTATGTTTGCATTAGTTAGCTTTGCATATAAATGAAGCTCAGAATTTTTCCTCTTTGAGCTGATGGGTTCATCAGTCTTAACTAATACATAAAAAGGACCAGGATGCAGTTTGTTGTAGAGAATCTGTGTATTTTGATATGTTTTGTAGTTGTGAAAATCTTCTTGATTGGTGTTAGTTGTGGCCGCTATGGGAGTGGGATGGTTGGAGTGTGAGTTGTTGGGATGAATGGATTGTGAAATGATGGATTTATCGGTGTTGGCGCTATTGTTTGGATTATTGGGATTGGAACTATTTGTGTTGGAAATAATGGTATTGGGATAATTGGTAGTGGGGTTATTAGTATTTTTAGAAATAATTTCATTTGTATCATTGTTTTGATGACTGGTGTCTTCAGTAACTTGTGCAGCTGTAGATGTTGTTGGTGTTGGTGAACTCGTTTCCGAAACAAAAACCATTTTGTTTTTTATTGTTGTTGGTGTTTGAAGATTTTTAAACTTCTTGCTGTCCGGGTTACTTCCAGCCTCATATTTCCTCCTCGGCAAAAAACGAGGAGGTGGGTCCTCGTCATCCATCCGGTGAGTTGGAAAAACACTTTTCTTCAGAAAAAGAAATTGTTTCAATAATATAAAAAGAAACCAAAAAACGATTTGTTTTGTATGAAAATGTTACTGCAGTGTGTGTGTATGTGTGAGTAAACAAAAGACAAAGCAAAAAAAGTCTTGGTTGCGACCGGCGCGAAAAAGTCTATCGTCAACAAAAGTTGAATAGCGACTGGTTTATTATTTTTAAACTAAAATAAAGCGACACAGCGACTACCAGTTACTTTTACAAAAACCTTGCCATATCTCTGTAAAAAATCATTTATTTTAACGAAAGATATCATAATGAAAACCCGATAATGTGAACTTTATCGTTTACTTTACCTAAAGTAAGGGATAACAAAAGTGGACTATAAAGGTAAGATGTAATAACGTGTCTTAGACACTTTTTTATCAGATTAATTAATTTAATAAAATATATAATTAATAATTTTTTCAAAAGCACGGAGCACCACAATTTTTGACACTAATCACAACAGGGTTGCCAACTAAACTGTAGCACAATATATTTTCTGACATATTAGAAATTTAGTCAGTGCTATTATTATTTGATTTGGAAAAGACATTCGACAGGATAAATCAATCAAGTCGATTTAATCAGTAAGCTATGTGTCGTTTATGTTAATTATTTGCTGATTTATGTTAATGATAAAAATTGTATGTCGGTTGAATTTGCTGATGACATTGAAATTTTGATTTTTATGTTAATATGTCTGTTACTTGGTTGTTCTGTAACGGCCTCTAGAAAAGTACTCAAAAAAATAAAGTTATTTTTTTTTTTTTTTGGGAACATGCAGGAAGAAACAATAAACATTTCCATTTATGTGACGCCTATAAATGTCGTAAGCTCGATGAAATGTCTTGATTTTTTCATGATTCTGGGTTTGTGTTTGAAGAGCATGTGATTTTTTTTATTTTAAAGAAGTTGTACTGTTTGGATATAGTTTTGCCTAAGAAAATTAGAATTCAGTTGGAGTATGCTTTGGTTATGCCGCACTTTTCATATTGTATAATGGTTTTGTTTTTCATAAGTTGAAACTATAACCAAAATAGAATGCGATATGTTTTCTTTGCGTTAAACGTCGTGACCTTCTGTAAAAGAGTTTCTTGGTTGTTCGTTTGATTGTTTTGTGAATTATAGTTCAATGTTGTTATTCTACAAAAATTTTAAAATGCCGACAGCTTCTCCTTTTTGGAACTTCTTGAGTTTTCTAGATCTGTGAAGAGCCCACAAATGGAAAAATCCTTCTATGTAAGAGTTGCTCTCATTTTCAACAAGCTGTGAACACATTTTAAAAGGCTTTATTCCTCATAATTGAAAAGGTGTAAGCGTAAATTATATGCTAACTTCAATCAAAATATTGTTTAAAAGTATTCATGGTTTTTCTTGTGGTATTTTGTTTTTGTATTATCCTTGCATAAACGATTTGTCTAACTATTCAATTCATTATTATTTTTGCTTATCTCTTGTTATTAATTTGTCTATTGTTTAATTTTAATTAAGATATTTAAGGTTAAGAAGGTTATAAGTAATGTTAGAGTAGTCATGTATAGAAGTTTTTGGGACAATTCATGACCTGATGGCTAGATAACTGCTTTCATTTATGCGTACTGCGAGTTGTAGAATAATAACAATAGACGATGAAAAGCGTGCACTTGCCCAAATAAGAGCTAAATATAATATATAAAACAAATATGAACAAGTTTCTATATGATAGAAATCGTGTCAGAATGTATATGCAGTCTATCGTTTTCTCCGAATATTAATATTGCGCGTATATGTAAAATCTCATCCTGAGGAAAATAAGAGTTTATTATCTGTCCTGCGAGATATCAAAATAAACATCACAAAAAGAACCAGTCAGGGGCCTTGACGAGGCGCTTTGAATTAAGAAGGAATTGTTGCGGATTAAACCCAAATTTATTAAAATTTTTAATGACTTGTATTAGCATTGATTTCTCATCATGAAGGATTTCATGATGACGATAGGTCTGTCAATAGAGGTTTTTTTTGGTGAGTCATTTTTCAAGGTATAAGAACATGAGTATTGCATTTCCTAAGTTGGAAATTAGCCGGTTTTTTTTTAACAAATTTTGAATTTTTTCAACTTCGTAGCATGCAGGCTTTCTGATGGTCATGGTAGAATTTTTATCTGTATCCTGTACAGTTTGCAGCATGGTTTCCACCCCAACGTCTGCACTTATTGACGTTTTGTTCAGTTTTCTAACATGCAATAGGTTTTGTTATTTCGATACTCTTGTTAGTTTGCATATTGTGGTTGTTCTTTCCTTTTTAGAGGTTCCACGAAGACATGGTCTTTCATAAGTAATTTTCTGTTATAGGCTGTAGTATCTATTACGAAATTCAAATACCAAAATTTGAAACAAAGTGTCGCTAAAATCATCACAATACTGAATATTAGGAGGTGCCCTTATGAACCTGCATATTTTTTTTGTCAGAGGTACGAACTTCAACTACGAAATTTGAAACAATTACGCTAAAAAGTGTCGCTAAAACCATCAAAATACCGAATACCGGGAGTATCGTTATATGAGGGATGTAGGAAGACGTGGACATGCATACGCAATTTATTTACATAGACTGAAGTACCTATTACGAACTATAAATACGAAAACACTTCCGGTAAATAATGTCGCTAAAATCATCAAAATACCAAATATTAGGAGGTACCGTTATATGCGTGCTATATGAAAACGTTGACCGACATGACACGTTTACGATATTTACGAACATAGCCTACTGGCAAAATATACATGTGTGCAAAATTTTAGCCTTTTATCTCAATTCGTTCGAAAGATAGCGTTATTACAGACGGCCATGGCTAAATCGAGTTATAAATTTACGCTGATAAAGAATATATATACTTTGTTGGTTCTGACATGAGTTAATATACCCCCGTAAAATGGTGGAGTATATAAAAATTTGGTGGACTTTGTTTCGAGGTCATCCTTTATCAAAGACATAGAAGTATAATGATAGGACAAGACAGAGTAAAAATAGTACAACCCTGTGAAAATACCTTTGTTGTAATGATATTATAACAACATAGTTACCAATGTTAACTGATTTAAACCGCTAAGGCAGTATGAACATTTTTGGAAAGGTCTGTGGAATAGAATTTTGAAACCACATTTTTGGATTTTTCAAACCTTTATTTGTCATTCGTTTCTTTAATTGTAGCTTTTATATTAACACTAGCTAAGCCCGGTGAGTTTCGCTAACCCTTTTGATTTTATATACATTGCAAATTTTATATACAAATATTGGTTGGTTAAAAAAGCCAAATTCAAAAATATATAAAACGTAATTATTGTAATACATTTATTCGTACACAAACAAATACCTCGGTCTACCAACGCGTGAATATGTCAGGAAAAGCTGACCATGAGAAAAGAAGGAACATGCCAAATTTAGTCCGCATACACGAATGGTTTGTCCTTGGGATTGATTAATTTTATAGCAAATGTGAAGCATGCTGGAAACTGCAATCTTTTGAAGTTGAGTTGCATTTCTGTTGCAATTAGAGAATTCGAGGAAGCAACATACTTCCCCGTAATAATCCGTTCCTCAATAAAATTGTTGTGTCCTTTTTTACTGTTAGCCTTATGCAAGCCACACACGCTACAGGCTGTACACTAAGTTGTATCGTTTGTGACCGAAACACATAATTTGAGTACTCTCCAAGTTTTACAACCAGTTGTTTCGTGTTTGGCTTGCATTATACCATTGCAAAGGCTTTGTGAGTCAATGCTTCTCATGGTAGAAGAATATAGGTAGACGCGTCGACACAGCTGCTGAATTCTACTTTTCAAACCAATTTTGAAATTGAAAATTATTTAAATTTGTAAAAATTGTTGAAAAACGCGAATTATAATAGCCTCCGAATGACGTAGTATAAGAAAACATATAAAAATCTACTACATTTTGCATGCCATTGATTAAGATAAAACCAACAAGTAACACACATTTCATAATCTGCAACAATATTACACAATTCAAAAGGGCACGACATTTTATTTATTTAAATTATAATTATTTCTTTTTTAGTATACAAGATGCAACTATATTTTTGAAGATTAGATTTGTAGCTGGAATTTTTTTATTTATTTTTTTTTTAAATGTTGGCAACTCTTTTGATATGACAGACAAAACAAGAAGATATGTTAAAACAACTAATTAGCTAATGTCGTAAAAAAAGAAAAGGATAAAGAAGAGAATGTAAAACTACACAATTTGAAAATTGATAATTAGTTTAAACACAAAAAAGATTTAAAAACGCTTCACCAATTATCACTATGGCGGGTTATTACATCTTGCCCATAGATAAAAAAGTGATGTTGTTGGACACATTACAAGTTTCATTTAAGTATGGACTGTCCGATAAGCAAAATGTCAGACCATCTTCCCTTTATCTTTTAACACAAAGTTTACTGAATTCATGTTGCCATATTTTTTATTGATAATATGGCAATAACAGCAAAATTTATTTAAATAAAAAGATGCATAACGCTAATCGTTTATTTAATATTGAAGAACTGAATTTTAGATTTATTTTACGAAATTACAAATTCGTTTTGTTTATTATTTTTAAACTAAAATAAAGCGACACAGCGACTACCAGTTACTTTTACAAAAACCTTGCCATATCTCTGTAAAAAATCATTTATTTTAACGAAAGATATCATAATGAAAACCCGATAATGTGAACTTTATCGTTTACTTTACCTAAAGTAAGGGATAACAAAAGTGGACTATAAAGGTAAGATGTAATAACGTGTCTTAGACACTTTATTATCAGATTAATTAATTTAATAAAATATATAATTAATAATTTTTTCAAAAGCACGGAGCACCACAATTTTTGACACTAATCACAACAGGGTTGCCAACTAAACTGTAGCACAATATATTTTCTGACATATTAGAAATTTAGTCAGTGCTATTATTATTTGATTTGGAAAAGACATTCGACAGGATAAATCAATCAAGTCGATTTAATCAGTAAGCTATGTGTCGTTTATGTTAATTATTTGCTGATTTATGTTAATGATAAAAATTGTATGTCGGTTGAATTTGCTGATGACATTGAAATTTTGTTTAAAGGAGAATACATGTTTGTGGATATGTTGCAGTCATCAATTGATTTTTATGTTAATATGT